GTCTCAGGCTTCAGCCTCATGACTCAGAGGCACCAACCACAAAGGCCCCAGCCCCGGAGCCCTCACGCTTGGCCTCCTCCATCTGGTTCCCTCCCTCCGGTCCTCCTGACTCCTCAGCTCAGGGCCTCCAGGGAGGTTTCTAGAGCTGATGATGCCATTAGAGATCCCCAGGGGTCCCTACCCACCTGAGGGCCAGGGAGCCAGCAACCCCTTGGTCAGAGAGGGGCTGGCGCCAGAGCCCAGCTGGGGCCTGGCTGGGGTGAGGGGCCCAGGAGAGGGGAAGGCGCCAGCTCCTTAGATGAAGAAACAATGGAGTGTAGGCCTCCTCCTAGGCTCTGGAGCAGTTACACCCTCCTCTTCCTTCTCTCCAAATAGGGCCAGGATTATGATGGAGGGATATCCATCCCTTCCCCACAACATCCACTGTCCATGTTTCCAAAATCCACCTCCCAATACCAGAGAGTGGGCAGAGAGAGGGGTGAAGGGGAGCTCAGAGAGTGGTCCCGGGTACTTGCTCCAGCAGAAAACCTTCCACCCAATGTCCTTGGCTACTCCTGGGCTGTCCAAACCAGACTTCCCCAACCAGAGCTGGGCGGGCAATCTCCTGGTTGAATCTGAGCCTTCTGCACCCGCACACACCTGACCGGGTCGTGCTTGCCCAAATCCACAGAGGGTCCTGGCCATACCAGTCCTGGGAGTTAGGCCCCTCTAACCAGACAGGGCTGGGGGAGGGGCCCCGACTTCCTCCTTCCAGCACCAAGGTTGTCAGTTGCCCTGAGAAACTGGGACCCACGAGGCACCCCAGCCTGCTCCCATCTCTATTCATAAGCTTTCGGACTGGGCATAAGCGAAGCCTTAGCCTGCCTGCCTCCTCTGGGATCTCAGTCCAGACCCCAGGCCCTGCCGCAGTCCCAAAGTGGGGGAGAAGGCGGCCTCCGCGACCCTCCTCCAATTCCAGCTCGGAATCTCCCAGCCTAGGACATGGAATGGCGGAGGGAGCTGCACCACTGGCTATGCAGCGGCTATCAGCCTGGACTTGAGGCTGAGGGGGGTTTCTGGGGACTCTGTCCAGGGGAGAGACCCCATCCCCATGCCGCCCCCTCGTTCCCGGGATCGGGGTGTGTGTGCTGGGGGCTGGGGTCCGTTGGGGGTGCCGGGGGACGCAGAAGCCGGGGCAGATCAGCCTGGGCTGAAGGGCGGGGCGCAGCGGCCGGGGACTCTCACCTGAAATTGGGCGGCGACGCGATGTGCAGCCCCAGGAACGGGGAGGCGGCAGGCGGGGACGCGGCCCCCCCGCCCAGGCCGCCGCTCTCTCGCTCCGCCATTCTCCGGCACAGCCCTGGCCATCCGGGCGGAGCGCGGCGCAGAGGCGGCGGCGGCGAAGGCGGCGGCGGCGGAGGGGAAGGAGGCGGGGGCGCGGCGAGAGACCGCCGCCGCCGCGGGGTGCGGCTCGGGCGGGTGCGGCGGGCGCACCTGCGCAGGGCAGGGCGCGGCTCCGGACCGCGCGCGGCTCTCGGGACTGGCGCGAGCTCCGCCGCGCGCCCCCGGGCCCTCGCCGGGGTCTCGTGAGCTCCGCCCCCGCCCCGCCCCCGGCCCCGCCCCGCCAGCGCTCTCCGAGGTGCTGAAGTGGCGGCCCCCGCGGCTCCTAGGCTCGCACGAGCCCGGCTCTGAGTCGCACACTGACTCCTCCGCCCTCTTCCCCCTCCCGTAGCGCCTTCGCGCCTTGGGGGTTCTGCTCCTCGGGTGGGCCTAGCGCCTGGGTAAGAGGGAACTAATGGCGGGACCCTGGTCCCCAGGGTCCTAGTTGGTCCCCAGCAGCAGACAAAGAAGGCGGACAGGGAAAGTAGGACCGTTGGAGGAAAGCAGAGAAAGGCGAGATGGTGTCAGGAGTGGGCTCCTAGAGCAAGCCAGGCTTAGAGTCAGGTCGTGTGAACTCACAGCCTGGCTTCCCAAGCGAATAGGTGGTGTGGTCCTGCATTAGTGACTTCACAGGCCTAAGTTTGGTTTTCTTATCTGTGAAATGGGGACAATAACGGTCCCTCTCATGGTTGTTGTGAGGATGAAAAGTGATACAAGTATGTTGTCAGCAGAGGCAGGGAACACCCCACCTCCTGCTAGGATCCAGGTCTCACCCAATCCTGTCCCCCTTATCTTGAGAAGACCCTCTCATGGGCTCTCCCTAGAGGGTCTTCCCTCTACAGATTGACTCTATAGCCCCAAACACCTATCAATGATGAACTGAACCTTTCCTCTCGGCTTCTCAGTTTCTCCTCCCTCACACCAGGACTTTCCCGGATTTCTCTTACTTCTCACTTAGCACCTCAGTTGCATTTCTTGCAGAGCACCTCTCTTTTGCAGCCACATGCAGCCACACCCCATGGCTGACTTCTCACGTTCTAGGACTAGGAGCCAGCCTTTCCTCCTGCTGCCATAGTTGACTTCTTGAAATTTCTTCTCATTGTTTTTCTGCTCCCTCCAGCACTTCTACCCCTGCCAGTTCTGGGCCATGGTTCCCTTCTGATCTCTCCCCTAGGTGGGCTAAGCCCATGAGTTCTTCTACAGAGCACAGACTGTTGGACACTCAAACTGCTGGCCAGGGCTAGGGCCCCAGCTTTGGTGGGTCAAGAGCCTCTGACCAAACCTTATGGGTCTCTCTGGCCTCCTGAGAACCACAGAGGCCTTGCCCTTACCTCTCTCTGAAGAAGGGGCAGAACAAACTGTTTCACAGCTTTTGGAATCCCATTTGCAAATATGGACCACTTACTGGTCATGTCACCCCCTCTTCCTTCAGTGTAGCACCCAGAAAGGAGCTGCAGGCACCTGCCCTGCAGGAAACAGCTCCCCACCTCCAGCCCCAAGAACATCATACTACCTAGTGCCAAAGGCTTGTCTCCCTGATAGACCCAGAGGAGTGACCCCTTTACCTTTCCTGCTATCTTGGCTCCGCCACCTTTCACTAGGACCAAACAGTAACCACCTTCTGCTCAGATGCCTGGCTTTTGCTCCCAGGAAAGCAATCTTGCCATTGTGGCTAATAATTGTTGCTTAAGAGTGTGTGCTTGCCTCAACTAGGAGCATCCTTAGGTGAGAAGTGTGTGTGTGTGTGTGTGTGTGTGTGTAGGACAACTCCATTTTCTAGAATCTTCTGCTCAAGAACAAAGCTATTGTAGCTCCTGAGGCGAAGCCAAAACCACATTAGAGAGAAGCCAGAAGGGAGAGAGGGAAGGACAGGTCCAGGTCTTGGTGGGAAGGAACTTCAAAGCAGAGCTAAGAATGAGATGAATCCCAGGGATAAGTTCCTCCCTTTCCCCCCTTCTCACTCTGTGTAGGGCAATTTGTGTATTCTTGGGCCCTGTCTGAGCTGCTGCCCACATGAAGTTGGAGTGTGGTGTGAGCTAACAAAACTCTTCCAGGGGTCCAAGCCTAGAAACTACCATAGAAAAGCCCACATACACTGCAAAGAGGCCACTTTCCAGCCAGATGGCATGAGACAAAGCCAGCATCCGGGCCCTGGGCTTGGCTGTGGGCAGAACTCCACCATCTAGACTCAGCACTGGCCGTTTGCATGCCTGCCCCACCACGCAGTGCTTAAGTGGCTGAGCTGAGATAAAAGATGGCTTGGGGGCCTGCAGAGAACCCTGCCACTCACTGAGCCTTGGCCCTGGGGCTTTAGGTGGCCCGAGAGGCTGAGTCACTGCAGGACAGAACTCAGAAACCTCATCCTGGCCTGGAGTGCTCTATACCATTCTGGCTGACTGAACACTCCCACCACCCCCACCCCAACTCCGGCTAAGCTCTGGAGTTGCCACTAGTCTGCCCTGCCTGCTCACCTAGGGGCCTCCAGCTTCCCCCATCTCTATCCATCCCTCTCCTCCCTGCCAAGTCTGAGGAGGGGTGAGAAGCTCCTGGTTCCAGCAGAAGCAAGATGGTCTGGTATTAAGGCTTCACTCAGGCTCAGCCTTACTGACTCCTGGTTCCCAGATCTCCCACAGATTGACAACAACACAGCTTTGCTCAGACAGGATCAGACATTTATGAAACACGTGAATATTCACAAACTGTGGGAGAAACGCACCTTCCCAGTAATAAGAAATCTCTGTATAAAGTGCATTTTGCCTGCGACCATCTCTTCCCCATGCTGGCCCTTGGATTAGGATTTGGGTCAATGTTCTGTAGCAGCCCCGGGGACACTTGGGCTAGAAGAGGGGAGGCACGAAGCCGTGGTGGAGCTCTGGGCCACTGGATGCACCCTCCCCTCACCCCGGCCCTCCCAGCTCTGGGAGGGGACCACTCTGTTCCGCTGGGAATGTGCCAGCTTGCCAAGGATGGTGAAGCAGGGGGAGGTGGTCCCGCCAACTTGTACCTCCGGGAAGAGGGCTGTCATCTAACAGGCAGGAGAAGGGAAACATCCTGGTATCTGAAGGCGCTGCTAAACAAATACTGACTCTGGGCCCAAGCCCTCTGGCGTTCCCGATCCCTCAGAACAGCCCTTCCAGGCTCGCTCTACTCCCCTTCTGGCAACAGCCCCCAATTCTCCTTCCTCCAGGCTGGGGCTGGGGGAACAGAGAAGACCCCAACTCAACGCTCTGAAAACACACCATCACCTGGGCCCTGCTTCCCCCACGATTACGGGACATTTCTAGTGAGGGTGACACACATACAACAGGGGGACTCGGAAGGCAGCTCTCCGGCTGAGAAAGCCTGAGGACATCTCAGGAAGGAGCCTGTCAACATGCTGCACAGCTGAGGGAACAGAGGCCTGACCCCAGGGTTCTGGTCCGAGGACAGAGGAGGACAATGAGGGACAGGGCAAGGGCCAAGGGAGTTAACAGCTATGAGGCTGGGAAAGGTCACAGGGAGGTAGAGAGGAAAAGGCCCGGAGGCCAGCTTAATGTTACACATGAGGACAAAATCCAAAGAGAAATCAGCCTCTCAGTTACACACGCACCTGTACACACACACACACACACACACGTGCGCGCGCGCGCACATACACACGCATTGTGGCTCACGTGCAGGCCACAGGGTGGAAGGAAGACTGGCTGTAGCTGACCACACAGTCCTTTTCATTATGTCCTTCTCAACACAGGCCTTTAACAGTGGGAGGGCTGAGGTGGGAGGCCAGGCCAGTCCCGGAATGCAAGGCCTTGGCTTCTCTGGGTCAAACCTCCCACCGGCTGCATCTGGAAGGGTCGATGCGCTGGCTGAGACCTCTGCTTGGACATCTCCCAACGGTCTCTGGCAGTTCCCCCCGAGTCCACCTGCCGGGGTCCTTGGTATCCGGCCACTGGAAGAGCTGACACAGGAGCTTGGATGCTGACCAGTCCCAGGCATTCCCCAGAAGCCTACAGACCACGGGACAGAATGGCGCTCCTGGCTGGGTGTCAGCTGACCTCAGTGCAGCACTGTGGTGTGGCTAGAGGAACCAGGGGGCTTTCTGGCACCAGGAACCTGGCTTCTTCCTTGTGGAGGCACTGAGTCTCCACAGTCAGTGCTGAGGCTGGCGCTCAGCTTCTGAGGCAGGAACAGTAAAAGCTGCAATTCAATTCCTAACTTTAGGTTTTCAGCTCCAGAAAGGCGGGCACTTTTTGGGCTAGCGTCTACAGTACTGTGGGTATGGCACATGAGTCCGGTATCTGAGTGTACCTCCCTGTGATGGCGGCATGTTTTCAGATCTATTTACAGCCTCAGGTTCAGCCCAGATGCCCGAGGAGGGCTCTGGAGGACCCGGTGGCAGGAAATTTTCAGATGAGAAAGAAGCCAGACCAGGTGACTGTATCTGGAAAGCATCTGTCCCCTCCAGCCTGCCCAGCCTCCCGCGTCATAAAGCAGGAACTCAGCAGGGCCCTGGCTGCTTCTAGAATCCCATGCTCTGGACAAAAGCCAGCAATGTTGTCCTCCTGCTCCTCAGTCTGATGTGATGAGACAGGGAGGAAGGGCTCAGGGTCAGGGTGGGGTGGAGCAGGCGCCAGAGTCCCAGCTAGGGTCCTACCACTCTCCTATTCAGACCAGGTAGCTGGCTCCCAGGGACAGGTTTGGCTGAAAGTCACTGCCATGACCTCCAGCCTGGCGTCTGGAGGCTGAGGTGAAGGTGCTACACGTGCTCTCCCAGCCCAAGCCGTGCTCAGAATCACGAGAGTGTACACAGATGCATGCACACGCAAACACGCACACCACTCCTTCCCCGCACACGCGCACACACAAGCACACATGTTCGCTCAGTCTAGTCTCTGCCGGTGATCAGCTTTCCTGCAGGTCGCACTCTGCTGCCGCGGAGGCTGCTCGGGCTCCCAGGCTTCGCTCACGGAGCTACAGCGCTGCCGCTGAAAGACAAAAACAAGTGCAAAAGGGAGCGTTCAGGGCGCTGCTCGGTGGCCCGCGGACACAAACTCCTCTGGCTGCTCCTCTGAGGACACTCAGACCGCGAACCAGGAAGAGCCTGGCGCGAGCGGCACGGGTCTGAGCGCTGGCCCTCGGAGGCAGTGCACAGCACAAGCTCTCCCTGCAGACCCTGGGCGCCTCCTTGGCTCCAGGGCTCAGGGCAGGAGAGGAGGAGGAGGAGAAGGCCACAGGGGCTCCCCGCAGGCCTTGGGTGGTGGGCGCTCTGATAGGACAAGGGCAGTTTTCAAATCAAGGCACAGTGGCTGCTGCCATAGACACTCAGAAAACAAACAGCAGAAGAGAAGCCAGCGGGGGCCAGGAATTGGAAGAGGAAGGCAGTGACCGAGTTTAGAATCAGCAGGTAAGCAAATTTCCACATAGAGATAAAAGGATCCTGGGCACTGCGAGAGAATACCTGGGGGGTGGGTATCACGGAGACACAAGGAGGAGTCATTTTAAATATTTATAACATCCTGAATTTGGAGCAGAGGGAAGAAACGGCCTCATGTCTGAGAACAGAGGACAGGGCAGGCCAGTCGCAATGCTGGGTTGCCTGTTTAAATAGGTCTAGTGTATCTCGGAGGGTACAGAGACCTGAGGGGTTCCAGTAAAGGTTTGTACGTTTAAATGATGTGAGGCAGATGATACTAAGGCTCACTGTACCTAATGCAGTCAGGCACTATACAGTTGTCTTTTTAAAAAGGATTTTATTAATATATTTGACAGAGAGAGAGGGAGACAGAGCACAAACAGGGGGAGCAGCAGAGGGAAAGGGAGAAGCTGAGCAGGGAGCCCGATGCAGGGCTCGATCCCAGGACCTTGGGATCATGACCTGAGTTGAAGGCAGACACTTAACCGACTGAGCCCCCCAGGTGCCCCTATACAGTTGTATTATGGCTGAACTGTGTCCTCCCCCGAATTCGTATGTTAAAGGCCTAACCCCCAGTGCCACATAATGTGGCTGTATTTGGAGAAAGGGTCTTTAATGAGGTAATTAAGTTAAAGTGAGGTGATTAGGGTAGGCCCCAATCCCATATGGCTGGTGACCTTATAACAAGAGGGGATTAGGACACAGGCATACACAGGAAGAAGGCAACCATCTGCAAGCCAAGGAAAGAGGCCTCAGAGGAAGCTTCGAGCCAGCGCCTTGCTCTCAAATGCCGGGCCCTCAGAACTGCGAGAGAACAGACTTCTGTTGTTGAAGTCCCCCAGTCAGTGGAACCTTATTCTGACCGCGCTCGCAAACTAAAACTAAAACAGCTCGTGATCCTGTTAATCCTGAAGATATGGCCTCTAGCTGTACAGACGAGAAAACAGAAGGTAGACAGGACAAGTGGCCCAGGATGACAGCATCAAAAGTCACCAAGCCAAGCCAGGAAACCCAGGACAGACGCCAACACCCGTATTTTCACCACGAAGCAATCTCTCTATCACAGCACTGCTCATCCAGACTTCCAGAGGACACAAAAGGGAACTTTGCGTGGTGGCATGAAGGCCAATACACAACTGAGCAACATGAATAAGTTCAGAATTTAACAGAAGAGGGAACGCGCTCCGCACGGTCATAGACACTGGAGCCAGAGATTCAAAATCAGTCTCCGGACACGGGCAACTCTTTGAAGACAAATGCGATTCTGAAGAAGACCATCTGGATGATGGTAAGTTATCTGGAAGCTAGGGAAAGAAAACGAAGAGCAAACTTAAGGGCAGGTACCTGAATGGGTTAGTACTGAGAGCCTCATTCTTTAACATATGTATTGTTTTCTTTTTTAAAAATATTTTATTTATTTATTTGACAGAGAGAGATCACAAGTATGCAGAGAGGCAGGCAGAGAGAGGGGGAAGCAGGCTCCCCACTGAGCAGAGAGCCCGATGCGGGGCTCGATCCCAGGACCCTGGGATCATGACCTGAGCTAAAGGCAGAGGCTTAACCCACTGAGCCACCCAGGGGCCCCTAATATATGTATTATTTTCAATAAATTTTTCCTTTAAGCTTGTACCATAATAATCAGCTAGCCGTACCGTACCTATAAATAAATGTGTCAGTTTCTAAAGCATACATATGTTTACTGAGACAGGATGTGATATATATTTTACACACAGGTCTCACTCTGACCCCTGTTAAGCCAGAGATAACTTTGCTTCTGAAACTGCAAATTTCAGGACTGGAGAGGGTCCTCTTCCCAATACCTCTGTTTCTTGTGTTTTCTCCACCTTTTGGGATGGGGGAAGATAGAGTGCATACAAATTCCTTAGAACACTAGCTCTTATTCTGCGGTTCTTGGACTTTTTTTGGGTCCAAGGATAGGCTTAAGGGGCGATCCATGAGGGCCTTGAAGGTCGGCGCACATTCTCCTGTGTGAGTAACTACCACTTTCTGGGGGGCTTCCATCCTTTATCTGACTCTCCCAAGCACAGGTAACCCCAATACGGTTTGCAAACCAATGCCTATGTATGGCTGGAAAAAATGTATTACTAAATTAATTTCACTTATTTCCCAATGTAGTTACTAGAAATTTAAAATTATACTTGTGGCATCCATGGTAGATCTGACAGGACTGATCCAGAATTTGAAGCAATGACGTCTTTGTAACTAAGGAGAGAGAAAGCCTCCTCTTTCCCAGATTCTCTGATCAAACACCTGGTGGCCTAATTGTGCAGGCAAACTGTTTAATTGTAGCCAGTGATCTTCATAGCTTCTGGAAAACTTGCCTCTAAGTGCTTCTGATTGTTGCTTATGGAGCCAGGGCTTAGCAACAGAAGGTGACACTGGGTATGTGTTAAGGGACTGATTTCTAGGCTCCCTCTCCCTCTTGACCCTACAAGGGAGGAGACGCGCACTTACTTCATTGGGCAATGGCTCTCTATGGTGGCTGTCCAGGGTCTGCGGGGCCTTTGTGGAAGAGAGGACAAGAGCCCTGCCTTCACTCCTGAGATCACATGAATAATGGATCCACGTGCTTGCTAACAGTAGTGGCTTGCTTTTGGTTAAAAATGCCCTTTTCAGGGACTGGTTTAATTCAAATGCTTAGATGGTCTTTTTTCCAAAAAGCATCAAAAATCCTATCTCTTCTTAGCTGCTCGTTTTCATTACGTTTTCTCGGGGGATGGCCCAAGACTTCCCAGGCCACTAAATGTATAGGAAACACTGTCTGTTAATCAGGTGACTTTGTGAGCATCTTTAATCAAATTTATAAGATTATTTTCTAATATGCTTTGCCTGTCAACTATCTTGGTGATTTTTTTTACACCCCACAGTGAAAATGACCCAGCACACAATCTGTTGATGGCGTTCGCTGAATTCGAATTGGGCTTATAATGATTCTCATGTACTTTAAAGTATGATAATCAAGAGGCTATGTTCTTTCATGTGCAACGCTTCCCTTTTCCATCTGGCATACACTGGTAACGGGCGGGTACTCCAGTCACTACGAGAGCCTAAGATGTACCCTGTCGCCCCCACATCTAAAACCCGAGCAATGCATTTGTCAGCTCAATTATTCTGCATCACAATTCCAACATTTTCCAAAGGATAACAACAAACTCCTGAACTGAGAACATGGGGCACCTGGGTGGCTCAGTCAGTTAAGCCTCTGCCTTCAGCTCGGGTCATGACCTCAGGGTCCTGGGATCGAGCCCCGCATCGGGCTCTCTGCTCAGCAGGGAGTCTGCTCTCCCTGTCCCTCCTGTTTGTGTGTTCTATCAAATAAATAAATAAAATCTTCAAAAACAAAAAACAAAAAACTGGGAACTTAAGCAGCCAGGTGGCTCTAAGGCTAACACTTCAGACCCATGTTGACTTGGGCGAAATTGTGCTATGCGGCAGGCTCAGGGGGAGCTGGCAGTGTGTGGCCACAGACAGGGCCCAGTGATCCAAGTCCCTCCGTGATGGGTTCGAAACCACAAATACAGAACACCATGGTTTGGAAGCACCAGCTTGTTCTGGTGTACAAAGTTAGTCAAAGGCCTAGTCAACTAGTTCCTCAAGCTGCTTGATCGGCAGATAACTAGACAGTTCCTGTGCTCTCGTTCTCAAGCCAGAGCATAAGTCTGCAGAATAAAGGGGCTGGGGAAGGCAGATGAGGCCCTGTAGGAAAGTGACGACAGCAGCACTAAGAGAAAGGGAAGAACAGCTTGGGGGAGGCACCAAGGGAAAAATCAACTCATAAAACACGTGCTGAAAAATCAACCTCTCAATTGTCCGACTCTTTCAACCTGTCATTAAATACAGCAACCCCAGAAGCAGCTGCTGGAACACAAAGTGACTTAACGGTGCCCCCCTCGGTGTACCCAGAGTTAGGGCTACACCACCACCCCCAACCTGTGTGCCAGATGTGAACAAGAAAGCCCAGTCTGTGAGGCCGCCCTGCCCCCGGTCCTAGCCCGGGACGGGTGTGCGTGAAGTGTACGCAGGAGATTGCCTCAGCAGATAAGGGGGTGGAAACTTCGTTTGGAGCCTGTAACCAAGTCTCAGTGTCCAGGACCTTGACAGGGCAGAAGGCTTGCTACAGACTCCCAAGTTAGGAACGGGGAAGAACAGAGGTGCAGCTGGGCCCAGATGGGCCAGGATGGGGTACAAAGCTGGGCTCTCAGCTCCGTCTCATTCCTCATGTCAATGACACACTGTCCCTCCCCGCACCATACAAATCCTACAGCAACAGGGGGGGACGGCAGTCAACCAGCAGCCACTGGGGGGATGGATGGAGGTGGGGAGTGCAAAGGGACACCGCCTGTATCCCAGCTTCTCGTTTCCAGGGTGAGAAGCAGAGGGGCGGCAACTTGGCAGGCAAAGGCTCCCGGGAAGTGAGCAGCAGGACCGCCGTGCACTGGCTGGTCTGGGCGGGAAGCCCGGCCATTGCCCTGTGTCTTGTTTCAGACTGCCCACTGCCTTTCACACACACTGCTTCCCTAAGGATGGACACACAACGGAAGAAGTGCCAAAACGACAAGGAGGAGAGTGCAGGGGTCAGGCTTTTGGCAGTGAAGCTCATGTGCTAACCCAGCTCTGGTGACCGTGGGCAGGGGAGGGGAAGGGAGGGGCGATCCTCTGTCAGGAGCCTTTTGTATTCAGTGGGGCTTCTCTCAACAGATCGCTGTGCACCAGCCAATGGGTAAATGGCTCATGTGAGCTGGTTCCCCATGGTAAAATGTTTGGACCAATAAGAAAAATCTGGACACAATTGGAGGCTAATGGAATCCTGGGCAGTCAGCAGCTTTGGGGCTTATGGGAAAGCCTCTGAAACAGCTATTTGGGGGCTGGCTTATTTTTCAGTTTAGTGAACATTGTACAATAAAACCAGATGCAGAACAGACATCGGTGTGGGTTTTAGGTAAACATGAAACCTACTGATATCAGGGCATGTTTTACACTGTAAATCATGGTCTGCCCTGCGAACTGCCACAAGTCTGAAGCATTAGAAATAACAGAACCACAAAACGATAGAGCTCAGAGCTGAACGGGGCCTCAGAAGGTTCAGGATGGAGCCTTCAGGCTGGTCAAGATTGAGTAGTCCCACTTTACAGATACCTGACAGCGTCTCTTCGAAAGGCTAAGTGCCCTGCTCCAGGACACACAACTAAAAGTGACCAAGAGAAGAGGGGAAAGGGGGCAAGTCTTCTCGGTATAACGTGGTGTCAGCGTAGACCATGTGGGCACAGCTGTGTAGCCCACTCAGCCCAGAGGGCTGTCTCTGACTGACATTAACAATAATACAATCCAAGATGCCCTGAGAAACGTGGGCAAGATGGGAACATGATTTTATTTCCCTGGTGCATTTTACTTGTTCAAAGGCTGTGAATGTATGGTTTTACACTTTCTTCCCCTGCCGGGTATGCTCGATGGGCAGGAAAGGTGACAAGGTGCTCTTGACAGAGAGATCACAAGTAGGCAGAGAGACAGGCAGAGAGAGAGAAGGGGAAGCAGGCTCCCTGCTGAGCAGAGAGCCCGATGTGGGACTCGATCCCAGGACCCTGAGATCATGACCTGAGCTGAAGACAGAGGCTTAACCCACTGAGCCACCCAGGCTCCCTGACGAGGTGCTATTATCACTATTTTGCGGATGGGGATGCTGGACGCTGAGGACCAGGCACTAACAGCGGCAGACAGTGAGACCCCAGTGTCCTCTCTTCTTGCAGGGTTTCCAAAGAACATGTGCCTTCCTCTCTAGTCTGTCTTGTCCTCTGGCCTTCTAGCTCCCACTTCTGAACAATGACCCATGACAAAGCGCATAGTAAACCTTGAGAATCAGTCCTTAAGATCCTAATAGGCCAAAGAATAACTTCCTGGAGGGCAAGGCCAGAGACAGGCTGACTTCTGCACCCTTGTAATGTTTTCATCTGGGGTCACTGCCACCGTTTCCTCTGCAGGCCCCAGACTAATGCCTCCAAAAATGCCAGTTTGATCACTTCACTCTCCTGTTCCAAAATGTCCCCTGGCGTCCAGAGTACACCGAGGATTCACTTGCCTGACATTTAGGACCCTTCCTGATCCAACCCAACAGTAGTCCTCTGTTCTTCTAAAATAATAATGATAACAGTATCTATAATAGCAATAGTGGATACTTGTGAACTTATGAGCCAGGCATTGGGCTAACTTCCTTGTATGTTACCTAGACACTGTTAGCGGTCTACCAGTACCCATACTTCATCACTACCAAAACTTAGATTTTATTCAGTGGCTCATGGGCCTGACACAGACAATGAATCATGATTGGTCTAAGTCAGTGATTCTCAGAGTTCAGTCCCAGAACGGCGGCATCATCAGCTGCTGGGAACTTGTTAGAAATGCAAATTCTCAGGCCTCACCCCAGACCTACTGAATCAGAAGCTCTGGGAGTGGGGCCCAGCAATCTGTGGTTTAACAAATCCTCTAGGGGATTCTACGGCTCACTCAAGTTGGAAAACCAATGGTGTAAACCAATCCTGACAATCCAGATGCCCACTTCCCACACTGGGCGTGGATTTTTTAGTCTGGAGTCATGAGACCAATGTGAAAACCTGGGGGAGCGGTATTCTGGGAAAGCTTTTCTTTTCTTTTAAAAATATTTTATTTATTTATTTATTTAACACAGAGAGATCACAAGTAGGCAGAGAGGCAGGCAGAGAGAGAGAGAGAGAGAGAGGAGGAAGCAGGCTCCCTGCTGAGCAGAGAGCCCGATGTGGGGCTCAATCCCAGGACCCTGAGATCATGACCTGAGCTAAACACAGAGGCTTAACCCACTGAGCCACCCAGGCACCCCTCTGGGAAAGCTCTTAATTTCTTCATAAAGAGGAAGAGAGGCATCTCCTGATAATCTTCTTAATATAAAATTTCAACCCTCACTATGCCCCAACCTTTACTTCCTATCTTCTTACCAACTTTAATTTTTTTCATATCACGTAGAGCCTCTTGACTTTGTTCCTTGTCTGTCTCCTCCACCAAGATGCACCCAAGACGGAAGGCCCTTGTCAGCCTTGCTCGGCATGTCCCAATATCCCAATAAGCATGACAGTGTCCAGCAAACTGTGCTCAAAAACCACGTGTGTGTTTACTGATGAATGAGTGCAGCTGTCTCTGCTATTCCTCTTTCTTGCTTCCTCTTTCTTTCTTGAGGAACTGATGGCTGAGGCTGTGGCAGCCACCTTGAGACCATGAAGCAAGAGAAGTGCAGAAAAACGGGCTCTGACATTGCTGAGCCACCAAGCAATGCCCACCTCAGGGCCTCTTGTTAGGAAGAAAAATAAATCCCTACTTGCTTGAGCCACAGCAGGCAGCTCTCCTACTCCTAATGGCCCCATGCATTCCTACCTGACAGATCTATTTAACAATTGAACCTTTATGACGACGGAATTTAGAGGTGAGGAAATGAAATCTCATAGCAGTTAAGGAATTTATGCAAGATCATGTGATCCTGAAGCTATTTTTCTTGTCCGAAATGCCCTCCTTGTGGCCTAAATCCAACTCACCTTTCAGCCCCAAGTGTAAAGGTCTGTGTCCTGTTCCGTGATCACCCCAACCTACCAATAGCCGGCCTGTGGGAAGCGTGTGCCGTCTAGATCATCGGTCTAGGAATCATAAATTATTTGTATTCTTTTCTAAGGAGACTGTTAAATGCTTGTGGATGGGGATCCTAACACATCTTATATGCTCATGTTCCCTCCTCACACACCTGCTGGCAACAATTTCATTCCGACTTGGATGCCGTTAGCTTCCTGAGCAACTCTGACCCAGACATTTACCCTCTCTATTCTTTGATCTTCTCACCTGAAAATCGGGAGTACCAGCCTGGCAAGCTCCAGATTTTTAAGAGAGAATAAACTTTGCTTAGTATCACAGAGCTAAGAGATAACGAAGAGAGTAGCATCTGAGATACTTAGATACTGGTAGTATCTAAGTAGTATCTAAGGCTGCCAGTGCTTCTAGAACAAGCCAGTACAAATCAGTCAGCACCGTCTATGACACAGAGCCTAGCAGGGTAAAGGGCACGAGCGTCAAACACAGCACTCGAGCACAGACACTCAAACCAGATGGCCCCGCCTGGCCCTGAAATGGAATGGCTGGGAAAAAAGAATTAATTGGTTCCACAGAGAAAAAAAATCACTCTCCAGTCTAATGACACAGGCACGGTGCATAAGGAACACCTGAGATGATGACTCGAAGAGAAGAGGAATTTATACTTCCCCAAGAAAGGCAAGAAAGTCCCTTCCTGCTCTGTGGAAGGAGCCAGTTTTTATTTTTGTTTTTTCATGACACTCAGGGGGCTTCTAAGAAAGCTGAGTGCTGACACGGAAGCCCAGAGCCAAGGCCATGTGGAAGGTGAGAATGAAGGAGTGGCTTTATGAGGCACCGACGATGGGCAGCCAGACCCTACTGGTCCTCAGCTGGGGCTGGGCCTCCCCCCAGTGCACAGCCCTCTGCCTTTCTTTCTTCCGAAGGGGAGTGCCGCCCTCCGCTGGCCTGTCTATGGGACGCAGCCTGTCAGTGGTGGCAGAGGGCCCGGGAGCCTCCTCAGACCCTGCCACGGGCCGATTCTCCCACAGCTTCACTTCCTGGGCTCTGCTTTCTTTTTGTTGGATCTGACTCACTTTGATAAGTAGAAAGAGTCAAAAACTATTCTCTTTCCCTTAGTTGGTAAAAAAAAAAATAAAAAGGCTTTACTTTCAAACGTCCTTTTAAAATTTAGAAGTATGGAAGTCAGAATGGTAGAAATTTAAAGTTGAAATCCAAAGGAAAAAATCATGCAATCCCTACCAGGTTTTAATCTAATTTGCTGGGTTTTAACCTTCAGCTCCAAACCCGTTCCCACCTTCCTTCCCAAAGGTGCCTCTAAGCTGCTGTCACTCACTCTCAGACATCCCTGCTCGGCAGCTCTGGGGCAGGCAACTCTGTCACCCTGGCCCGTTTGCTGAGTTCTTCACCCGGTGGTTCCTCGGCTGCTTCCAGCTTGCGTTTGGGGGACGCTGGGCCACTGGGGAGTGGTCTTGGACCTGTAGGGAAGCAGGTCAAAGTGTCACACGGACTGTGACTAAAGCCAAGATGACCCAAAACTGGGCAGTGGCAGCTCTTTTCCGAGCAGGGAGCCTGCATCGAAGCTGTGCCCACATGTTGCTTCACAGGCCTGCCCCTCAGCCTTCCTTTCGGCAGTGACCTTGCCCTGAAATGTCTAAGGAGAGCATAACCCAGCAGGCTGGCAGTAGGGCCAGTTCTGGGGCCCGAGCCCTACGGGCTCCAGGCCAGAGACGGATTTGGCTTGTCTGCTGCCCTTGCTTCCAAGGTCAGGCATTGCCCCCGGGACGCTGGCTCAGCCTCCTGAGGCAGCACCTCCTCTGCAGAGCCGGCCTGGCCGGGCAAGCTGCAGAAACCCCGGAGGTCTTCCTGGTCTCACCTTACTGATACTTAGCCCAGAGCTGGGACAGGGTGTGGGATGGGGTGGGAGGGTGTTGGGGGGCCAAGAATTCGGCACCACCACCAGGCTGTGTCACCACCTCCTGCCTGGACAAGCACGGCTGTCTCCTTTCTAGCCTCCCTGTCCTCGCTCCTGCCCACACTGTCCCCTCCACACAGCAGGCAGAGTGAGCTTCTGAAAACCTAGATCAGACCCCCGCACCTCCACCCTGCTGACCACCCGGCTGTGCCTTCTCAGGGCACTGACGACAGACTCCTCCCCTCACCCATGCAGAACGTGGGGACACCACTCCTGCCACAGCTTGTCCTCGTCTCACTCTGGCTCCTCCCTTGAGACATGCCGGCCACCCTGGCTTCCCTTTCTGTTCCTTGCACGTCTCTGGTCTTTTCTTGCTATTCCCTTTGCCTGGAATGCTCTTCTCCCAGTTCCGGGAAAGCCGGGTTCTGCTGGGTTCTGCTCGGCACTTGGGTCCCTGCTGAGACGGGCGTTCCCCGACCGCTCTGATCTGAAGTACCTGAGGGAGTCCCCCTTCCCCAGCGCCTCTCACGTCAGATCGTTCAATTTTATTTCCCCCAAAGCACTTGTTATCGGAAACGATCTTGCACGGTTCCTTTACTATTTGTCTCTCCCAAGTGGACTGTAAGCTCTGTACAGGGGGCATAGACTCATTCCGGCCTTTGTCCTCAGCCCCCCGTGACTCTAGTTCTGCAGTGGTCTCCGGACGGACACAGGCCGCAGGAGGCCAGCTGCTACTCACCCGCACTGCTCACGCTCCCAGTCTGGCTCGAGCTGGGCTCTGCCACCGGGTTGCTGAGGTCTTCCACACAGGAAGGGACAGATGCCAGCAGACCTGGGGGAGAGGCAGGGGAGCAGTCAGAACGCCATCTCACGGGAATGCAGAGAGCCACAGCTGAAGACAGGATGGGCGGTGGGGGACAGGGGGTGCTGGGCCATGACACAGGTTCCACCTCTTCCCACCCGCCACACTTAAGAGAGGCCTGATCCAGCCCAGCCTGGAGTGCCCTGTGCCGTGGGAAGTCAAGTCAACTTAATAGCTGAGAAGAGAGTACTTGGTCTCCCTCTGCAGGAAGGACATGGAAATCCCCGCTGAGCAAACAGGGGCGTCCCTTAAGTGAGCGAGGGGATGGGGGTAGGAGTAGTGGCTCCTTACAGAGTCCCCGGTAGCGGGACAGCTGCTGGTAAATCTGCTTCATTCGCTCGATGTTGAGCCGGCTGGTCTCAGCGTGGTTGACGATGGGCCGGGGGTAGTCCACACCGATGATGCACTTGGCTGCCTTCTGAATGGACTCGGGGGCATTCCAGGGCTCATAGATGTATCGAGAGGGGAACCCTTTCAATATGGGCAGGTAGCGCCTGTAACACGCATCGGACAGCGGGTCAGCATGCTGCGACTTTCCTTCCAAGGACCAAGGGTATCTACATTTTACTTTTTAAAGATGTTATTTATTTATTTGACAGAGACAGAAAGAGACAGAGAGAGAGGGAACGCAAGCACGGGGGGTGGGAGAGGGAGAGGCAGGCTTCCTGCTGAGTTGATCCCAGGACCCTGGGATCATGACCTGAGCGGAAGGCAGACACTTAAGGACTGAGCCACCCAGGCGCCCCCGGCTAAGGCTATGTTATCTTAGGAGCCGGTCCCCGCAGCCAGGAGCCAGACAGCCTGGACTGCATCCTTACCTGATATAGTCCCCACTGGGGTCCGTGCGGCGGCCGAAGCCCACAGGGCAGTAGCAGTGAAAGAACTGCTGGAAGAAAGCACTGCAGGACAGCCACATCCAGCTGCCTGCGTTCACGCTGAAATCCGCATCGAGGAGCAGCTCATCAAATACCTAGATGGGGAGAGGGTGGGACAGTCAGCCTTGATGGGAACCTTCTACTAGGGTTCTCCCCAAATTACCACACGCCCCATGGAGGAAAGAGAGACAAAGCCCTCCTGCTGATGGCAAGCCAAGAAGGATCTGGAGGGGATCCCCTGGGTCCAGGGATCCCGCCCCATGCCCCAGGTCAGAAGAGGGCTACCCTTGCTGGGCCTGATGAGAGGGTATGGGCCAGCTTCCCCTGAGAGAGACTCACCCGGACCCCGCTCTCCCAGCTGACCCAGAGGTCCCCGCGGGTGAGGAAGCAGGCCACGGCGTGCCGGGCCAGATGGTGGATCCAGCCCTCCTGCCTCAGCTGGGTCATGATGGCGTCAATCCAAGGGAAGCCTGTCTTGCCCTCGGCCCACTTGGCCAGGGCCTCGGGGTTGCGGTCCCAGGGGATCTGGATGCAGATGGGGTTCCCTTCCATGCGGTCAAACCTGGGGTTGTTGGTGGCTGCCGTGTAGAAGAACTCTCGCCACAGGAGTTGCCCAAACAGGGAGAGGGGGGGCGTGCTGTTCCGCTTCACCTGGGGGGTGGGGTAGCACAGGGATGTAACACTCGCCCAGCCCTCGGCGCCGGGTCACTCAGATCTCTCCCACAGAGCAGTCTGGAGCCTCAGTGAATGTGGTGGCACAGACACGTGAAGGGGCTACGCCCTCACAGTGGCCCAGCGTGCCCGCAGTCTGAAACCACAGACCCTGGCTGTGGGCACCGGGAACCCAACTCCTCAGGCCTGGCCCACCCTTGTCCTCAAGGGTCCCTGCTTGACTCCACTTTCTACAGAGTCAAAGGGAGTTTTCCCATCAGCATGCATTAAAAAATGCTCACTTTAGATTCTGGTTAAATAAGAGATTATGACAGCCTGGACCTGGGGTCTGAGGGAATTGAAAGATCAGCCCAGGCCTCCCTGCAAATAATGACTTTCCTGAAATCCCAAGATTTCAAACTGGCACAGCCGCCCCATGCCACCCCATGCCACCCAATCCTGCTCTAGGCAAGGACAGGGAAACAACATGAAACGACACAGATGGAAGGTTGACCTGCTGGACAGTTGGATGCGTCCCCCTCTTTTCCTTCTGGGGGCAGGCGCGCCACCTTAAGGTTATTTGCCTACAGTCCATAGAGGACAGCCCTGCCTTCAGCCCAGGTCATTTCCTCGTCAGTGGTGGACAGCAGCTGCTCCCGGACTCCCCCATTACATGCTGCGGACCAGCCCCACAGAGGACTGCTGTGCTCTTCTGCTCAGCACTGGTTCCAGTCCTGCCCTCCCTGCCTCCCAGCCCGAGTGCTTGCCCCCCATCCACCTGCTCCCGGCAGATCTGCCTCCTCGAGGGTCACACCCTGAGCTCAGCTTTTTGGCCCGTCCTGCTCTACTTGATAACCTGGAGATTACTTAGATCAGCTGTTTGGGTGCTCGGCTCTGCCAAGTCTTGGATGTGGACCCCACCACCTTCTCTGGACACATAAGCACCCCTAGAATCCACAACCCAGTCCCTGCCAACCCTCTGCAGGGTGTCTGACTGGCCCAGAAGGCTGGTCTGTGGGGCTGCAAGCGGGGGCAGGGCGTGCTGGCCTCGCCGCCCCCTCACCTTTTTATACAGGTCCCACAGGCGGTAGTAGAAGAGGCGGCACGAGAGGCAGCCGAAGCGCAGGTAGGGGCTGAGGCCCGTGGGGCTGGCCAGCAGGGAGTTGGCGTTCATTCGGGGTCTCTCGTAGTTGGCAACCCAGGCCTGCAGCGGGAGGAGAAGGTGAAGAAAGGAAAGGCCTGGACGTTGCAGAGAACAACCCCGAGGTGCCAGCGTACTTGGTGCTTTACTTCGCGGCTCATGGTTACGTGGCTTCTCCCGTGGGGTCTGAACAACCCACTGGGGCAGCACTTACCAGTACCTCCTCTTGAAAATGAACCACGAAGCTCGAAGGGTTATGTGGCTCTTCTGGGGTTACAGAGGTGCTAAGAATCAGGGCTAGGGGGATGTAGCTTCCAACTCCAGATTCCATCTCCAGCTGCCAACTTTTTCTTCCTTAACTCCTCACACCCTCTTTCTCCTTGTGATGCCTCCTTCACAAACTTTACAACTCTGCAGGCCTCCTCCTCCACACTTCCCCACCACCCCTCAATAGACAACTTTGCTTTCTTGCTGAAATGCAAACCTTCAGCTGAAAAACTCCTCAACTCTTAGCCACCAAATCTGCACACTCAACTGTGTCCACGCCTCCCCCTCCCCAACACCTCTCCTTCTCCAGTGATTCTGCCCAAGGCCAAGGCCTCCCCTGGCTCTGAATCCCTCCCCTCTTCCTTCCCCTGCACCTTCCATCTCTCCCTCTCCAGTTTCCACTCTAATAACATTGGGCAAATCATGATGTTTCTTTGAAAACAAAAGAAAAAAAAAAACAAAGGCCCTTTAGGAAGCCTGTGGACCTCTGTCGGGTCTGCCTTCTCTCCGAAGCCCACGTCCCACAGCCAGAGGCGCTTCTCGGCTTCTGCCTTCACTGCTCCCCCCAGGCTGGCTCCCACCAGAGTCTCGGTGATCTCTATGCCACGGAGTCCTGCGGGCGCCTGCCTGGCCTATTTGTGGACCTCTCAGCACACCTCACCCTACTCCAGCCTCCACATCCTCTGTTCCCTTGGCCTCCGGTCTCCACACGTTCCTGGCTGCCTCCCACGTGGCTGGCTGCCTCCCCTCCCAACCCCTTCAGCATTGGCATCTCAGGGCTCCGTGCTGGGCCCCGACTCAACTGTGTTCCTGGGGAGGCATGTCCAGCGCCACGGCTCCTAACACTACGTCCATGCAGGGGATCGACACATTGGTGGCTCCAGCTCGGACTGCTCGGCTCCTGCTTCGCTAGACTCCCAGATCCCTCCAGCCAGCTCTCTGCTGGGAGCTCTGCCTGGCTGCCATCCAGGCCCCTCAAAATAAGAGCTTTTGTCTTCAGACCACCCTTCCATGGGCATTCCTATCTCAGAAAGCGCATGGTCGTCCACTTGGATGCCCAAGCCAGAGGCCTGGCAATCACCTTTGACTTCCTTGTCACCAAACCCTGTCAATTCTACTGTTCAAATTCTCCTCCCATCTGTCCTTTTCTTCCCAGCCCTCTTGCTACTAAACTGGCTCAGGCTAAAATGTAGACTAGACAACTGTGAAAGCCTCCCAGTAGACCTTCCCGCCTCTCTTCTCAGCCCCCTCTAATTCCATCTCCATACTGGGAGCAGGGCAATGGCTCAAGAACACCGTCCTGCACTGGGCTTCCTGTTGCTCTTAGGCAGAGCCCCAATCTTTTTTTTTTTAAATTTTTAAAATTTTTTTATAAACATATGATGTATTATTAGCCCCAGGGGTACAGGTCTGTGAATTGCCAGTTTTACACACTTCACAGCACTCACCATAGCACACACCTTCCCCAATGTCCATAACCCAACCACCTTCTCCCTATCCCCCACCCCCCGGCCCCCCTCAGTTTGTTTTGTGAGATTAAGAGTCTCTTATGGTTTGTCTCCCTCCCGATCCCATCTTGTTTCATTTCTTTTCCTTCCCCACAACCCCCCCACGCTGCATCTCCACTTCCTCGTATCAGGGAGATCATATGATAGTTGTCTTTCTCCGATTGACTTATTTCGCTAAGCATGATACCCTCTAGTTCCGTCCACGTTGTTGCAAATCAGAGCCCCAATCTTAAATATGACTTATAAGTAACCCACTGGGTGAGCCTGTCTTTCTAGCTTCATCTCTCGTCACTCTCGTAAGCACCATGCTCTCGCGGCCTTCTGCACACGCAGCTCCCTCGGCCCGGAATTTTGTCCTGCTTTTCACTCACCTTCCCCTGGTTAACTCTGACGCTCTCTCCAAGTCTCAACCTAACAGTCCCTTCCTCTTCAGGTAGCCCCTCAGGTGTTGGGTTAAGTGCCTCTGCCAAACACTAGGTATATTTGCCTGCTCACGCCCTTCCGCACCTCCCTCCGAAAACCTTTTTATGTTAAGTAAAATACAGATACGGAAGTGACACGATGTGTGGCTTAACAAATTATTCTAAGGCAAACACTCGTGCAACCATCACCGAAGTTCAAGGACTGGACCTCTGCCGGCCGCCCCAGAAACCCATCCGTCACAGTCCCTTCCCGGCCTCACAAGTGAGCGCTCACCCAACTTTTATAATAATCACTTCTTTGCATGTAAAAATGTTGACATTTTTCTAGTTTGGCAAAGCATATTTGGAGGGAGGGCTTTATCTTTTCAGTTTTTCCTTGCATTTTTTAGAGGGATGGAGGAGCAGAGGGAGAGGAAGACTCTTAAGCAGGCTCCATGCCCAGCGAGGAGCCTGACTCGGACACTTAACCAACTGAGGCACCCGGGTGCCCCTGTTCCTTGCATTTTTAAGTGGGGTTTTTTCAACTGCACATGCATCCGTAGGCACTGCAGTGTAGCCCTGGCCATCTATGGGACTATGGTGTGTTATTTTTCTTTTAGTCTACATATTTCCGGTCATTTCTTCCTTTCCCTTGCAGTTTTTTGGGGACGAATCCAGGCCATTTGACTTGTACTGATTTTCACAGTCTGCATTTTGCTATTTGCACACTCATGGTATACTGCCTGCAAATTGGTGGCTGGTACCAGAGACAGGAATGGACTCACGTTTGATTCCACAAGGCTGTGGGGGGACAGAATGCCTGCCCAGAGCTCTTTATGGGGTCAGCAGCTATTAATGTACAACGCGGCATCATTGAAGGCTGCAAAATGCTGCTGTTCTATCATTCCATTTTCATTTAAAAATGGGGATACTTGGGTGCCTGGGTGGCTCAGTGGGTTAAAACCTCTGCCTTCAGCTCAGGTCATGATCTCAGGGTTCTGGGATAGAGCCCCGCATCAGGCTCTCTGCTCAGTGGGGAGCCTGCTTCCCCCTTCCCCACCTCTCTCTGTCTGCCTCTCTGCCTACTTGTGATCTCTGTCAAATAAATTTTTTAAAAATGGGGATATTTTATTTTTTTAATGATTTTATTTATTTATTTGACAGACAGAGATCACAAGTAGGCAGAGAGGCAGGCAGAGAGAGAGGAGGAAGTAGGCTCCCCACTGAGCAGAGAGCCCGATGCAGCCCTATCCCAGGACCCTGAGGTCATGACTTGAGCCCAAGGCAGAGGCTTAACCCACTGAGCCACCCAGGCGCCCCGAAAAACGGGGATACTTTAAAAAGAGATGCTTGCCCTCATCTACTATCTTGGGTAACCCAGTAGTAAAGATCACGTGGTTTGTCTCCCCTCTTCGGTGACAGCACCGAATTTTCTTGCAGATCCAGCCTTCCCTAATCTCAGCCCAAGTGAGTGAAGTGGAGCTAAGCTCCCCTTCAGACTCTGGGAGCAGGCTCAGGATGCAAGTCTGGCCAGGGAGAGCACCCCCTTCCCTGCCCATGGTGACTCAGTCAGGCCAGTGAAAACACTCCTCGGGACTTTTCCAGGAGCTTTTGGGAAAGAGGCACACCACTTCCTCTGGTGCACTAAGCAGATGGAAAATAACCTGCTGGGGACCACTTTGCCACTGTTGAAGGAAAGCCTACCTGAGAATGAACTAAGTGAGAGGGAAGCAGAGCTCGAGAGATGGAGAGTGCATCCCCGGTAGCATTCTTCAGACACCTGGGTCCAGCGGTGCCTAAAGGCTACATTTAGACTCTTAGTTACATGAGTTCAAAAACACCCTTTTCAAAAGTCAGCTTGCAAATACGAACTGATTAATAGAATTTTCTTGCTCTTTGCTCTCCTAACCCTTTGAACTGCTCTTCTCCTGACCCAGAGTACATTGTAATTCCTTGTTTCATGCCTATCATCTGTAATAACCCACTCTCCCGGAGACAGACTCCATACCCGCCTCACCGAGCAGTCTTTCCAATAGCTAAGCCATCTTGACATGAGTAGATAGATGCTCACTTCAGAGTAAGAAAACGGAAGACTAAAATAAACCTCCTCAGAGCAGCGTACACTCCTGCTCACAGCCCCCGTGGCTTCTCCTGGCTGTGTAGGACACAACGTTCCCACTGGCCACCAGAGAGTCTGAAGGATCCTGACACAGGGCCCCATGACAAAGCAGGCCCTCCAGGGGTACATGGAAAAGGAGACCCTGACTGGGGATCGAAGGGGCAGCCCTCCACGGAGCACTTTTAAAGGGATGATAACCCACAAGGCTGTAAGTTAGTTCTTTATACTTGTCTTACTCTATTCCTGCATTTCGTTTGTCACCTCCACCACTCTGCCCCCTGGCCTGGCCTGTGTCCTCAAACTGATATGGACAAAGAAATCTGGTCCTGCCCATAGCCCTTGGACATCAGTCTCATCCTTCTCAGTCGGTGGGGCTGGCTGAAGGTAACATCCAGATAGGGGCATCAAGGCCTCTGTGCCTAAGGGAGGTGGGGCTTGTGGCACGTTTTCACTGCTGGTGAGGCACCTCCAGGGCTGGGAAGCATTTTTCCTATGTATCTGCCTATTTTTCCTTGTTCCATAGTTATCACCTGGCTGCTGGGCCAAATGCCTACCTACCTGAGAGTATGAAAGGTTGTGAACCGGTCTACAAACCAGCAACAGTGGGCAGGAAACCAGCAGCTAACTCAGTCACTAGAACCTTCTCTGCTCCTCTATTCCCAGGGTCATGGAAGCCATGTGACACTGTTCAGGAGTGCCTTTGGGTCCTCGGTCTCTTTCCTTCCCCCTGCCAATCCCCACTTCGCTGGGAGGTGGACCATCTGTTCTCTGTGTCCAAACAAATGGAAATCAATGCCTTGGTGGGGACCCAGCAAAAGGTGAGGAGGGGACACATAAACACAAAGAAATTAATCTTATGGACTTCACTGTCCAACTACCGTCCTAATAAGGGGAACCTGCAATCTAGTGTAAGTTCTAAAATCACACAGAACAAGATCTCAGTCTACTACTTCCTAACAGTGTGACCTCAGGCAAGTTACTTACCTTCTCTAAACCTTAATGTCTTAACCTGTCAAACAAAGAGCTTAACACCTACCTTGCAGGGATGTTGAAAAGACAACAGGAAATCGTGCAAGTAGGTACCTCATGCAGTGACCAGCATGTGGTAAGCACTCACTGATGGTAGCTACCATTACTGCTGTTCCTGCCCCAGGAAGGTTTTTCACTTTTAAGCACTCTGAGCTAAGAGGCACTAAAGGCCATGAAGCTGACCCTCACATCCCCTGCTTCCTGGGTGCTAGCCCCCGAAGTTCTGTGTCCCAGAAGTGGGGGCCATACCTTCCGTTCCAAATGCTTATCCAGGCGGGCCAGAGCTTCTGTCTCTCCTCCTTGCCAAACGGCGGGGCCCAGTCCTTCAGTAGGGAACCCTACGGGAGGAGGAGAAGGTCACAGGACCAGAGGTCAGGCCATTTCAGTGATAGCTCAGCAAGTCTTGGCACATCGGTACGGCCTTTGAGCTTTGTGGGAACTGAACCGTGTGTTCTTGGTGCTGCTGGGGCTGAGATCACCCTAACACTTCAGCGTCTGTCAGGCCATCCTGGTTCTCTTTCCACTGTGACTTTTTTTCCTGTCCTTTCCCTTGCCTTCCCTATCCCAGCCACTCCTCATTCCAGGCACATGAGAACAATCCTGTACTGCCTGCCCTATCAGGTTGGCTGGCAATGACTGGTGCTTTCAGGTGAGAAAGGGTATAGTCAGTAACCTGGGGGGCTGACAGACCCTCCCTTCCAGTGCAAGCAACATTACTTAATTTAGTATTGAGGAGCCCACGGATGCCAGCACTAGACCGTGCCTATCTCTTCTGAGTGAGAAAAGTACAAAAACAGGAGCAGAAATTAGAAACGTAACATTACATATATGAGTAGGAACAGAAAAGACTAGAGAGACATGCTCCAAAATGAGTCGTGGCTATCTCTGGGTCGTGGGGTCCTAGTGACTGTTGTTTCCATTCTGGTTTCACTATATCTTCTACGCCATGGATAACATGCATCACTTTGACAAAGACAAAAAAATCTGGTCAGTTGTTTTACAAACAAAGGGGCTCTGGGCAGGACGTACGCACCCAGCTCCTCGAGGGAGGGCACGCCATAGGTGTCATCGTGGTTCTCCTGGATGTCGGCCCTGCAGCTCTCCATCTGCTGGCTCGTCACGGAGCCCACGGGCTTCTTAGGCAGCTCCATGCGGCTGATGATGGCCTGAAAGCGCTTGTAGGTAAGGGGTGGCTTCTGCCCGTTCAGCTCAATGATCCTGGGAATCCCAAAGCATAACTCCCGTCATGCACAAGGCCCTCATTTCAGGTCCCTGCCCACCCAGAAAAGAGCCCAGACTCTGAAGGCTTAGAGGGTGGCTTTCCTCATCCACTTACGGGTCCCACCCCTAAGTGGAAAGGAAGGGACAAGGGAGGCCACATCTCCATTTTACCGAGAGGGAAAATGAAGCCCAGAGAGCAGGAGCAGATGCCTCAGGTAATGGAGCAAGGCAGGGCCAAAGCTGGGACTCAATTCCAGGTTCCCTGGTGTCGACGTGGAGCCTCCTAAAGACAGAGACTGACCGTATCTCTCTAATCACAGAAAAGTCCCCACTAGCCTTCTTGGTACTCAGCCTGTGTGTCCAAGTCATGGGAATCCCCATGGCGCCTTTCTCTCTAACCCAAGGTAAGCCTTCAGGAAGTTCTTTGATAAAAGCTGCAAGCATGTTCTTTTGTTGAAAAATCATTGCCTTCTTGGCCCCAATTTATTAGAACAGAGAGGTGGAGAACAGCCTATTCTTCCTGGATCAGAGACTGGGGCTGGGGTTAATAGCAACAACTATTTAATGGGTGTTTGGCAGTTTACAAAATCTGTTTTCACGATCAAGGGGAACAGAGCTGCATTCAGGTAAGAAAAGAAGATATAGGACTGAGGAGGAGAATCGAGGCCGTTTCTACAGAATGCATTGATTGGGGTGGTCTGGAGCCAGATTCCCAGGGCTCTTCCTGTGGGCCAACAGGCAGCTTACGCAAGACCTGGCCGGCTGGGTGAGTTCACTGTGCGGATATGAAGCCGGCTGCAGCCTCTGCAGCACCTCCCCCCACCCGCCAAGTCCTCTGGCACGTGGCTGGAGGAGGAGCTCCATACCCAGCGGCTTCTCCTGAGAACTAGCTCACGTGCAGAGATGTGTGCCTGGCCCCCTGGCAGCCGCTGGGTCCAGGAGAGGGGGGCAGGGAACAGTGACGGCTGCTGGCTTGGCGGCAGCAGCAGCAGCAGGGTGACCGCTCTGCCGGGGAAGGGGAGGAGAGCGTTCCCTCTGCTCTAAAAGCAGAGGCCAATCTCTAGGGAACAAGGCTACTCTGTAGCTACTGGCTCCTGCAGGGAGCTCTAGAGCCTCCTGCACGACATCTGAATGCATGGCCTGGAAACCCAGATAGCCAGGGAGCCCAGGGAGCTCGTATTAAGTACAGAAACGGCACCTATGAGAACAGAGCTCTGTTGGGAAGGGGCTAACAGGCAGGGTCCACTGAGGTGACAGGGCAGCCTTCCAGGAGCAGGACAGAAGTGGGAGCATGAGGAAGGGCTAGGACTGCAGATTAGGAGCAGATCTATGGGGATCCTGTGTGGGGATTCTCACTGCTTTCATCCCTCGGCCCTAGGAAGCCTCTTCGCACCCAAACCAGGGAAAGCTCTTTACGATCTGTTCCACAGGCGCCCAACTCTGGCCCATTCCCCTCCAGCTTCTAGAAAATGCCATACTTCATGTGCCAGGTGGCTCTGTTGGTAAATCTCCCAGAGTTCTGTTCAGCAGGGGCTGAAACCACCAACTCCCACAATTGGCAACCTGACCCCTGGGACCCAAATCTTACTTGTCCAGGTCATAGAGAGTATGAGAGTTCTCAGTCACCACCTCCACGCCGGCCTCCTTGGCCATCTTCATGATGGCTGCATCCCGTTCTTTCCCAAAGGGTTCGGAGTCATATTCAAAGGTCAAGCGGGTCACCCCCCATTCCTGTGAGGAGAGATTCTATTATGCTAAGCACTGTCTGGGAAGGAGAATGCAGCTGAGGACTCAGTTCCTTCCTGGGAAGAAAGGAGTCTAGAGACAAGTCAGAACAGGCTGCAGAACAAACTAGTGACAGAGATTTCTTTTTTTCCCCACCGATCCCTAGTGACAGAGATTTGAACTAGAAAGCAAACAATCTGAGATTCCCAAGGGTTGAGGAAGCGTGGGCCTTTGAGGTGAGGCCCCCAGCATGGCAAGAGTGGAGCCTGAGGCTAGTGGAATCAAGAGAGACGTGGGTAGCCCCGTACATTTGCTGTGTCCCTGGGGTAGGAGAATGCAGCAGAAGACTATAAATACAATGCTCCCAGGGGAGCCGCTAGTCCCAGAAAGCAGCACTGAGTCACTGGCAGAGACAGTGGGGGAAATGATCACTGCCTCCCTCCTGCCCAGCATGCCTTTCCCAGAGCTCCTCAGAGCCCTACACACTTCTGGCTTAGTTTTCTTGGTAGACTTGTGCTATGTGAAGTGTCCTAATGGTTTCCATAGAAACACTCCTGAGGCCAGTAGCAAACAGAGCTAACAGGCTCTAGCTCTCAGAAAAGTTGGGGAAGGAGATGCAATCCTTAGTCCAGAGGTCAGAGAAATCAGACCAGAAGGGCCACATGTTAAAGAAGAAGGGAATTCTTTTCCAAGCCATTAGTCTTTTCTAGTAGAATTTTTTAGATTTCCTTGTAATGCTGGGAGAGAGCTGGCCTAGTAAAAGGTTGTACAGATAACCCACAGAAAGCCCTAGAACATGACTAGCAAGAAGAAAACCACATTCCAACCAAAGTCTCTGGTCATGGTCCCTTAATTCTCTAAACCCCTAGGGTACATGTCCTGGTCATATGGGACCTAACTCAGTCCTGCCTATGCTTTTGGTCCTGAGCAGGTCTGGCTATCCCTCATCCTGGATAATGGGACTAAGCATTTATTGAGCCCTAAGATCCAAGTTCCATGCTTAGAAATTCATATAGATGACATGGTCAGAAACTCACAAATCGGTGAATAATAATAAAAATATTATTAGATGCCATCTTCTCCAAGTAGCTTCCCTTGACCTTTGCTTTCAATAGGATTCTCCTGCACCTTGCCCTTTTCCCACCACTGCATTTGCCATATGGCAGTGAAGTTGCCCATTACTTGCCTGTTTCCCCCATTAAGAGTGTGAACTGTCAGCGCAGAAACCATGTTGTCTCATCATTACCCTAGTACCTCACTGGGGGCCTAGGACATAGTAGAAGCTCAATAAATACACGGTAGTCCTATCTGCAGGGACGTGTTGCAAGACCGCCAGGGAGGCCTGCAGCTGCAGACAGTACTGAACCCCACACAGAGTGCTATGTTTTTTCCTACACATACTTACTTATGATAAAATTTAATTTATAACTTAGGCACAGTAGATTAACAAGACTAATAATAATATAGAACAATTATAAAACACACTGTAATAAGAGTAATGTGAATGTGGTCACTCTCTTAAAACACCCATTCTTGCACCTTATACTGTACTGTTCCTTCTTCTTGGGATGATGTCAGATGATAAAATGCCTGTGTGATGAGAGGAAGCGAGAGGGACACAGGTGTTAGGACATAGTGTGACGCTAGTGAGGACCTTCTGACTCTATGTCAGGAGGGGGATCATCTGCTACCAGACTCCAGGTGACAGCGGATAACGGAACCCACAGAAAGATACGGCGAGAGAGTCGTTATATGCTGAACGACTGAATAAATGATCGATCTGTACCTCTGGGCTGTTACTGTTGGCCTCTGAGGTGCTAGGAGGAGAGAGGAAAGACAAAGCAGAGGGTGAAGACAGGCAAATGTGTTTAATGGTGTGCAGGTTAAGAACACAAATCTGGAGCCAGAGAGCCCGGGCTTGAATCTTAGACCATCACCTCTCAGCTTCAGGACCACGGAATTATTGTTCCTTCATCTGCAGAACAGGGAGAGCAGCACATACCTCTGCGGGCTGCTGTGAGAATTCATGTATGTAAAGCACTCACTCAGGACGGCTCTTGACTCCTAGTCTGTCCTCAGTGAACACTGGCTATTTTCAGCACTGTGTGATTTGAATGTGTGTGTCTGTGTGGGGAGTTTGGGGAGGTGAAGTGAATGATGAAATATTTCCTAAGCTGCTTGCCTTGACATCAGACCTTCCCTCTGGTCTTTTCCCCCAGGAAAGGCAGGGAAAGGAGCTGGGGCGGAAAGGGGCATGAAAATGATCCCGCACTGCTGAGGAGGAGGAGAGACTGTCTGACAGCCCTCTGTCCACGAGTACTTTTGCCTTTGGGTCTTAAAGTGTGCTTTATCAAGAAAAGGGCTGGAGCAGGGGTTTGGGCGGGGGGTGGGCTGGCTGCCTGGTAGGACAGACAGAGGCCTACATGGTACCCAAGTGAAGATTTTATCAACATTTGCCCCAGGGTTGTGGGGGGGAAGCAGGGAGCTCCCTCAAAAAGGTTGATTTTTCCCCCCAATAAACAGAGCATAGCAAGACAGGAAACGCCCCGTGCTAAAAAGGAAAATTCATCCTCAAACTCCTGGCATAGGAAGAGCCCTAACAAATCTCATTGGCTCGAGCCAAGAAAACATCTGAGGAAGCCAGTGGCATCCGGGGTAGAGTAACTTGCCACATCCCCTGTCTAGACTGAGCTGGGAACCTTCCAACAAGACACTGGTTTCAGAGAATTTCTTCCTTAACCCAGTTTCCATTCTAAGTGGGCAAACTGATCGGGTTCGCTCCCAACTTCCCTACAGACCAGCGCTGCCCGGTTCCATTTTGAGTCAGAACATCACCTCATTCAGTCTGTGGGGGAAAGTCCAGAGAACAGGATCTCCCCGTCTTCTCTAGGCACACTTACCTTGAATAGTCTTGGGAATACATCGGCCGGCTGTCCCCGGACTACAAACAGGCGAGAGTTCAGTTTCCTTAAACTTGTATCCAAATCTTCCAGAGACTGAAGTAAGAACCTGCGGAGCCCACACAGGCCTTTTAGTGATAACGTTAGAAGAGGCAGTCTTTTTCCTGCCAGAGCAGGGAGATGCTGGTGCATCATTAGTACTGTCCTGCAGCCAGGACATGATGGGGGATCAGCACTGCCTCCACTGAAATCCTGGCTTGGCCACTTCCTAACTGCGTGACTTTGGGCAGTTACTTAACCTATTTATCTTTTCTTTCTTTCCTTCTTCTTCTTCTTTTTTTTTTTTTCCTAATCTGTAACATGGAGTTGATGTTAGCACCTATCTACTAGAATTGCTAAGAAAGGACAATCAAACAACGCATGAAAAACATTTAGTGCAGTGCCTGACATATAGAAAACCTGGGAGGAAAGTGGGCTGCTCCTACTCTGGTTTTCTTTTATCTGAGGCAAGGCACTTCTTCCATCTCAGCCTCAGGCCGTGTGTGCTAATATCCACCCATCACACGGCTGTTGTGAAACCCAAAAGGGAGAACTGGGGGGAAAGTCATCTGATAAACAAGAAGAGCAATACCGTGGCACAGTAGCCTGAGGTCCTGCTAGGGAGGGAAAGGACTGCAACAGCCCTGGCAAAGCCTACCTACCTTGGTCCACCCTGCCTCTCTGTATCCCTGCTTCGGGCTGCACAGACTTCTACTGCCGCAGCCCCACAGCCTGGGCTTGGTCCCCAGGTCCCAGGGTTTCGTTTGGCGGGCTGGGGGGGGGGGGCGCTCATTCTCCAGGGCTCTGGCCACCAGATTCTCATCCCAAGAGGGAGAAAACCTTAGAAGGTACATCTCTATAGGATAGCCTCACATGCTTTGGGGGGTGGGGGGCTGGGGTGGGCACCCCCAGGTACTCAAGAGACCTAGCCTTGAGAACTGGATCACTGTGGAAAAGAAAATAGCATTTGCTGAGTGGCTTTGGTATTTTATTTATTTATATTTGACCACAAACATTTATCTACTGTTCAGTTAGGCACAACCATCTCTCTGAGAAATCTATCAGTACCTTTTTGTGACATGTGTTTTATTTAAAAATTTTTTTAAGTTTATTCATTTTTTTTAAGTAATCTCTATACCCAATGTGAGGCTCGAACTCACAACCCCAAGATTAAGAGTCACAGGCCCTACTGATTGAGCTAGCCAGGTGCCCCTGACATGTGTTTATTTGTTGGTTGTTTGAAAAGATTTTATTTTTAAGTAATCTTTACACCCAATGTGGGGCTCAAACTTACAACCCCGAATCAAGAGTCACATGCTCAGGGTGCCTGAGTGGCTGAGTCAGTTATGTGTCTGACTCTTGATTTTGGCTCAGGTCATAATCTCAGGGCTGTGAGGTTGAGCCCCATGCCCTGCGCAAAGCCTGTTTAAGATTCTCTCTCTCTCAGGGCGCCTGGGTGGCTCAGTCAGTTAAGTGTCTATCTTCAGCTCTGCTTCATGCATGGACCCACAGCCCTGTGCTGGGCTCCCTGCCTACCAGGGAGTCTGTTTCTGCCTTTCCCTCTGTACCTCCACTTCCTCCCTCATTCTCTCTCTTGTGCTCTCCCTTGTGATCGCTCTCACATAAATAAAATCTTTAAAAAAAAATTCTCTGTCTTTCTTCCTTTGCCCCTCTTCACTTCCCCCCCTCTCTTAAAAAAAAAAAAGTTGCATGCTCTACCCACTAAGCCAGCCAGGCACTCCAACATGTGTTTTATTTTTAAAATTTTTAAATTAAATGAAATTAGCATTTTAAACAGATAATTATGTAATTCAAATTCAAGTTATAAAAAGGTACATGGTGAAAAGTCTCCCCTTTATCCATCAGGAATTTAATTCCCCTCCCTAGAGGCAAACAGTGTCATCAATGTTATTATCTATCTGCTTACGCTTTTTAAGCATGTTTTCTTTTTAATTCTTTCAATACATTTCGAAGGGAAATGCTGTCTTCATTTTATAGATGAGGAAAATGAAACATGGAGAGGATGATTAATTCGCTTAAGGACATAATTATTAAGCGACAAAGCTGCTGCGATCAGAAGCTGTGCTCCACCTCTAAAGCCTTTTTTTTTTTTTTTAAGATTTTATTTATTTATTTGATAGAGATGACAAGTAGTCAGAGAGGCAGGCAGGGAGAGAGGAGGAAGCAGGCTCCCCGCTGATCAGAGAGCCCGATGCGCTGATCGATCCCAGGACCCTGAGACCATGACCTGAGCCGAAGGCAGAGGCTTTAACCCACTGAGCCACCCAGGCGCCCCCACCTCTAAAGCCTTTTAGTGGCACACCAGACAGGACTCAGGGGCTGAGATTCCACCAGACCTCAAGTGTTTGGAACCCCTCTCTGACCAACACCAGCCTGCGTATAGGTAATCCATGCACATTTGGAACTTCTGCAGGAACTAAGCCCTGACAGGTCGGCCTGGTTCATAGATACCCCTGCTATCTACACTTCGCCATCTCCCACCCATCTCCGTCAATGACGGAAATCACTAGATTTTATTTTGAACACAAGGAAGCCTGTGCCACCTCTGCAGCACATCGCACCCCCTGACTGCTGCAGGCTTACAGGAGCAGCTCCTGTTCCCAGGCTGCCACCTAGAACCAGTCCCTGCTGCTGTCTCTGACGTCAACAACATGACACTCCCACGGCAGCGAATGCCACAGACCCACATTCCAGCAGGAACTGAGTCCCACGCTCGGCCCAAAGCATCCTGCTAGCCTGCACAGACTCTCCAGGAGAGGCGGAGATGGGAGACTGTGGCTTTCTGAAACCCCCAGCTCCGCCTCTGTGACTTTGTTTTTGAGAAACTGACACCGTCAGAAAAGGAAAGTGAAGCTGGGAGTGACGGGAGTGACGCACTTGCACCTGTGTTGGCCTCCTCCCAGGCCACACTGTTCTTCTCCAGAGGAAAAGAGGAGAGACCTCTGTGAACAGCCTCCTTCCACCTGAAACCTGGGTTCTGCCAGGGAGAATGCCTGGATGTAATTGGCAACTTAAATCCCAACTTAAATTCAGGGCACCGGGTCCTCCGTCCAAGGCTCTCAGGAATGTCCCTGCCGTGCACGTTGGTGGTCTCCTCCCTCACAGGCCAGCAGGCTGCACAGGTTTTCAGTCTGAAGCTATAAATAAGACTGACATGCACACGAGAGCTAGGCTCCAGCTGCCTCCCCAGAGCTTTATTTCTAAATGTTTTTTTTTTTTTTTTTAAGATTTTATTTATTTGACAGACAGAGATCACAAGTAGGCAGAGAAGCAGGCAGAGAGAGGAAGGAAAGCAGGCTCCCTGCTGAGTAGAGAGCCCGATGTGGGGCTCGATCCCAGGACCCTGAGATCATGACCTGAGCTGAAGGCAGAGGCTTAACCCACTGAGCCACCCAGGCGCCCCCCCAGAGCTTTATTTCTAGACCTCACTTACTAAAAGGAGAAATCCCGAAGTAAGCGTCTCTGAAGTATGATAAGTAAGATAACCCCAAGAGAGCCCTTTTCTTCTTTGACTTCTCAAAGTCTACAGCTGAGGCAGGAAGCAAAAGGCCTAACTCGGAACTCTGCAACCAAATGACAGTAATGATAACAGCAACAGCTAACATTTTTTAAAAGATTATTTATTTATTTATTTGACAGAGAGAGAGAGAGAGAGAGAGAGAGATCACATGTAGGCAGACAGAGAAGAAGAAGCAGGCTCCCTGCTGAGCAGAGAGCCTGATGCGGGGCTCGATCTCAGGACCCTGGGATCATGACCTGAGCCGAAGGCAGAGGCTTTAACCCACTGAGCAACCCAGGCGCCCCAACAACTAACATTTAATCAGCATTTGCAATGAACTGAACACTAGTCTACTTATTTTATATATGTTATCTCATTTCCTTCTCAAATAGATCTGGGACATAGATACTATGATTATTCCCATTTCACAGATGTGGAGACGAAGGCACAGAGTTATCAAGTAATTTGCTAGTAAGTGGCCACTATTCAAACCAGGCAGTGTGGCTCGGCGTCTGCATTCTTAACCACCAGGCTCCACTGCTTGACCACAACTTACTGCCTGAGCACTGAGGCTGTGCTGTCCAGTATGCAGCCATCAAAAAGAACTGCAGCCAACACCTTTGTCCCCAGATCCTTGCTCCTCTGAGGCTCAACAGCCGTAAATCACACAGAAGCTTGTTGAAATGCAGAATTTCAGACCTCCAGGATAGGAATCTGCATTTTAGCAACCTGGTGATTTCGTTGCACGCTAAAGTTTCACAAGCACTATTCTAGAAAACTTCACTTCACTTCTAGCTTCTGTTTATAAATTGCTTTTCTTTGCTTCTAATTTGTTTCTACTAAACTTTCTCTCTTTGAGATTCTGGTTTCTGCCTCTTCTTTGGTGCTCTAGATACGATCTGTTACTTCCAACTTCCCTTTTGAGTCCACCCCTACAGGGCTTTTTCAGGAAGGAGGCTTAAGGATGGCCCCCCTAAAAGGCAACAGGCCCCCGGGAACCCCAGCCCCAGGCAGCCAGAGAAAGAGAAGCCACTGCTATGGTGCCTTGCCTGCCAGGTGACAGGTTGGCATAACACCAAGGAACAGAAGCAGCGCTACTATGGGGTCAGTGCTTGCTGGGGCAGTGGGTGCATTCTTTCACCGGAGAGAATTGTGGGCCTTTTGCCCTCCTTTAGAGCCCTCCTCTCCACATGGCCAGTTTCTCTTTACTCCAGTGAGGGTAGACTCTAAAGAAAACTGGCCTGGGCATTGGAGATGGTGGCATTTAGGGCTGGCAGCACACTCTTGGCAGCTCCAAGCTCTCACGTGGCCAAAATTCAGAGCACACGGTCCTGTGCGAGCCGTTAAAGCTCACCCTTAGGGTTAGACAACATGTGCAACTGAATTACATTACGTAAGTGCTCTGGAGCTAGAGGCACACAGTGCTGGAAAAGTGCAAACAGGGATTTCCAAAAATACAGAAAAGACTCTGTCATTCAGGCACACCACGGGGCTAGCTAGCCCTTTAGAATAAGACAGGCAGATCTGTAGAGAAGACCCTCCCTAGAGATGGCAGATTCTGTGTTGAGGAATGTTTTGCTGTTCATAGGAGGAGGGAGGACGCTAGTGAACTCTTTTTGGATCCAGATTGCCCTTGACCAAGTTTCTCTGCATCAAGCCAAGATTATCTAACTATGTGATGATGTCACAGGCTGGCCCAGACTGGCCTCATAGGATATTAATAGAAATTAATTTATCTAAGTAAGAGAGCATAAGCTCTCTTATGGAAAAGGATGGCTTAAACTCACAATCCGTAGCAGGGACTGATCTCTAAGTATCACTCCCTTAAAAACAGATTTATTCTTTCCTAATTTCAAAGAAAAAGATGAAGATTTTCCTCCCTTTTCAGCACATGGAAACGTTCCTCAGCAGCAGAACAGCGAAATGACTCTCTTGAGTACCCGTGTGAACAGCTCAGAGAAACTTTGATTTCTTCCCCAACAGACTACAGTTCCCAATCCCCTGCTTGCTGACAGAGACCCAGGGACAAAGCGACCAAATCGACATTCTCACAGTGACTAGCTCCCAGCACTGGGATGAGAGACACATTGTTCTCACCAGGCATCCTGGCGTTCCTAGTTCACCTCATTTATTAACTCTGAGCTATATGGGCTGATATTTCTACCAATTCCCCCTGTCCTGGAAGCTCCTGAATGCACAGGTGGCACAGAGCTAGGGAGAAAATGACGTAAATGAAGGGTGCAGTAACTTACTGCAATACCAGTCGAAGTTGCATGAGCAAGAGGAAGGCAATGAAAACCCACACTGAGTACCATTTTTAAATCTAGAAGCTGATCACCCCCCCGCCCCGCCTTTCGGGTGGTTCTTACTGCAGTACCTCCTTCCACATAGAGCACATTTGGGGAAGGTGGGGCTGGGAAAAATGGCAAAGGGCTTGGCCAGCTAGTGCTTGACAAAAAAGTCCTGAGGCTCACTGAGCTACAATTAGCCCATCAGCTTCCCACTACCACCAAGGCAAGGAGTATGCCAGCCTTTCTGCTCTGCTAATATACATATTTCTTGGTTGCCCTTCTCTGTCCTCTTTGACTTTGGAAAGTGCTATCCATGGTTATTTTAATCTGATTCATCTGCTGAAAAATGCTGTGCAGGAGCTAGTATAAGAAGTGCAGGAGGAAGACTTCTGAGATCTTGATTACCCCTCACCTCTTGCAGATGGCCCATGACCCACCCTTTCTAGGGAGGCTTCTCAGAGGCAGCAACTGACGTATCTGCAGAGCTAGGATGTTATGCTGCAGCACACTTGTCTCAGATCACTCCCAGCTTCAGACACAGCCACTAAAGATTACGAAGACTGTAGTTATGGGAGGTACAGCTCGCTCCGTCACTCCTGCAACCCCCAAATGCGTGTCAAACAGTCGCAGCTCTGCCCTGAATCTGATCGTGGGAGCAAAGAGTATGGTGGGGGTGGCAGCAGTGGGTCTGTTTCCAGGCCCAGGAGCAGTTATCATATTCGATCTGTTTAGTGTTTTTCCACCCCTTTCTTCTGAATGCCAAAGCTAATTAGCCTCCCTGGCGAGCACTAAAACACATTTCCCAAGCTGTCAGGCTCAAGTCTGTGGTTCTCCAGTCCAATGCTTCTCAGGCTTCATCGCACACGAGAGCTTTAAAAATCCGTAGCCTAGACCCATTAAATCAAAACTGGGGGAGGATGGAGTCAGGCATTTTTTAAAGATCCTTTAGCGATTCCTATGATGCTGCTCTAGTCCGTCCCCCTATTTTATTTATTTCGTGGCATTTAGTTCTACTAAATTATGGTTGTTTACTTGTCTCCCTCTACTAAAACGTAGGCTCTAGGAGCTCTGGACACAACTGCTTGTTCACTGCTATGTCCCTAGCAACGCCCAGATCAGTGACTGGCAGATACTAGGCACCCATTAAATCATTGTTCAATTAATATCTACATTCCTACATGGCCTCTGACTTTAGGATTTGACTAAGGCATCTGAGCTGCCACATTCCTTTGTCTCCTTCACTTGCTCAAAGGCACAGTCACAAAAGAGAGACCCATAAAAATCCATAAACACTTAACTCCTAGCAAACCTGAGTTTAATCAGCAACAGAGGTTTTATTGATTTTTTTTTAAGATTTTATTTATTTATTTGACAGACAGAGATCACAAGTAGGCAGAGAGGCAGGCAGAGAGAGGAAGGGAAGCAGGCTCTCTGCTGAGCAGAGAGCCCACTGCAGGGCTCGATCCCATATGACCCGAGCCAAAGGCAGAGGCTTTAACCCACTGAGCCACCCAGGCGCCCCTTGTTGTTCATTTTTAATCTCCACTACCACAAAGGTGCAGGCAGGCCTATGCAATGTCCCCACAACCCTGGTAAAACAAAACCAAACCTCTTCATGAGAATGTAACAAGCAAGTAGTCAGATTTATTTACTCTGCTCTAATTGGCACACTGCCATAAACAGAGGGCAAAGTCTAAGGCTTGGTTTAATATCCATGCTAGGGATGACCATTTTGAAGATGTTTGTCAAACCCAACCTCCTATCTATAGAAACTGGAGCACAGGCAGAGCAATAGAGCAGCCTGAAAACTGTGTGGGCAGGCTCTCCACAGGACTATCTTTAGTTGTTCTCTCTACATAAATGGGGCAGGAGGGGGCATTTAATAGACCCACTGCTAGGGGCACTCACTTTCCTAGCAGGGCACACACCTCCGGGAGGAAAAGAATGGCGTATTGATAGCTACCATATCCTGGAAATAACACTGCCCATCAGTGCAACAGGGACACCGGCAAACATCACCCAGAAAAATGCAAACAAACCAAAGGACAGCTGCGAGGTGTTTTAAAGCGAGAAGGGTACAGGATGTTTCAAAACGCCTTGGTTTTAAACACACTGATTACAGAGAAAGGACATCAGCTACCTATCTGTTAATCCTTTCCCATGATTCTGTTGACTGCATCTCCTGGGAATCATCAGAGAAGGATCTCCTTGATTATCACAGCTCTCCTGCTCCCTAACCTCAGGAAGTGTAATCCCTAGTGGTTCAACTGTCCTTTAAAATCAATCTCATGAGAAGAGGAGGAAGGAAGTGATACTTTGGTTTCTTTACCTTTCTTTTTTTCTTTCTCTCTCTCTCTTTTTAACTAGCGAGCTCATAGCTAGCAGTTGAGGGAATTCTTCAAAATGGGTTTAAGTACTACTTTCTAGCTCAGGACACAAAGTGCCTCTAACTGGACAAGCCCTTGGGGTCTTCATAATAAAAGGGCAGAGGGCACCTGCCTTGTCTAATGCTAATTCAGGTCTCTAGACACCTGCAGAGGCAGGAAGGTCTTGGTAGAAGGAAACCAGGATGGGTGAAAAGATGGATTCAAACAAACCAGAAGCTTACAGACGACCTTCGGGAGCCCAGAAACAGGCTCTTTTCTCGAAGAATGCCAGAAGCACCCGCTGTGCTACCAACTCAGAAACCCAGAAACCCGTCCCTGCCCTCCCATCCCAGGATCTCCTTTCTTCCGCTCCCTGAGCACACCCCGAGAGCCCTAGATCAGGAGTCCCTGCTCTGCCACTCCCTGACTTCAAGTCCTCGGGCAGGCCCACTCTGCGTCTCTAGGCCTCAGGAGTTCCACCTGTACAATGGGGAGTAGGATCTCTGATCATCCCACAGGAATGCTGTGAGGCCCCCAAGGGACTAATACACAGTGCGAACGCGCTCTGTCAGAGGTGGAGCCCTGGCCCAGGCCCACCCAGGCCATTACTAATATGACTAACCGCTTCCCTCGTCCTGGCTTCTCCCCTCTGGAAGCCCGGCTCCGTCTCCCTGGCTCCCCGCTTCAAGCCGGGATTTTCGGGCCCTGGGACCTGAGTGGGGTGGAGGGGGCAGAGCTTCCCTCTCTGTAGGGCGGGGGCGACCCGGGTTGTTCGCCGGGCGCCCTCGAGGCCAGGCCGCTCCCCTTGGGCCCACGACCCCGCTCCGGGCCCCCTTACCTCCATCGGTTGATCCCCACTGAGGAGGAGGCCGCGAACCAGGGGTCCAGGATGTAAACGCAGCGCACGCAGCGCGCCCCACGCACGGCCGCCAGCAGCGCAGGGTTGTCGTGGAGCCGCAGCCCTTTGCGGAACCAGTGCACCGAAGAGGCGCCATCCACTCCGGCTGCCGGCGCCGGTGTCGGGGCCGCCGCTGCCGCCGTCACCACAGCCGCCGCCATCACCGCTCTGACTGCTCAGGCCTCCGCCGCTCCGCCCCCGTCGGCCTCGCGGGCCCAGCTGCCGGCCCGCCCAGTGACCTACGACGACGCCGCTCCTCTCTGTGGCCCCACCCCCAAGGCCCTGGAGCGCCCCTGCCATTGGCTGGGAGCCTCCCACCGGGGCGATTGGCCCAGCAACGCGAAGTCCGGCCCCGCCCCCTCACGTTCCCACCATGTGTCGGTCTGCGGGAGAGGAGGCGGCGGCGTGGGCTGGTGACGCAAGTTGCCTATCCCTTCCGCGGTCTGGGCGTGGAAGGAGTCTCAAGGGACGGAGGATCTCTTACAGGCGTCCTGCCCTAAGCCTGTCACTGGAAGATGTCTGGGCTGGTGGGGGGTTGCTGCGACTCCTGCCAGTGACCTAACCAGCATCATCCATTTCTGCTTCTAGGCTGGGACATCCTCTGCAACATTCTACTACAGCTACTGTTTATTCAATGCATTTTATATAGCAAGCAACGGGATAATATCCTTACACGGACTATCTCACTTACTATTCTTAACCTGGTTATGTTCACTCAACAGATCCCAGTGAAAGAACTGTTATTATTCTCATTTTAGATACAGAGGAATCTGAGGCTGCCACAGCTTGAGTGACTTGTTCTGTATCAGAAAGCTAATAAGAGGATCCCACCGACTAGTCAGAATCTGAAACTTCTGCTTTTATCCACAAAGCTATACTCTTATCTGCATAGAGCTCCTTGGCATTTCAAAGTGGCAAAGTCTAAAGAGGGAGGAGTGCCCTGATGCACGACACTGGAGGGACTGGGAGTAGGAATGGGCAATGCAGAGGATGTGGGTCAAGACAGTAATTATGCCATCAGATGAATTTTTCTTTCTTTCTTTCTTTCTCTCTCTCTCTCTCTTTTTTTTTTTTTTTTTTGGTTAGTAGAATATAGAACAATGGTACCTCTGTGCTCCCGAAGCCCTGAACTAGATTCTGTGTGGGATTCAGAGATATGGAAAACAGTCTCCACTACTCCTCTGGGGAGCCAAGAGGAGCCCTGTTATTCTTCTGGAGCCTAGCACTGGCCTTGCTGATAGACTGAATGGCAAGAGAAGCATATGAGTACCTGCAATGAAGTGTTGATGGTGAGATAAGATAGCCTAATTAGACTGCAGCTCTGTGGTTATCGAAATGCGGTTATTGAATTTGGACCTAGGTTGTGCCCATACTCACGTCCCTTCCTGAATTTGGAAATGAGCGAGGAAGGAATTTAGCAAATTAGTGACATTATTTGGCACAGCTCTCTAAACCACAGAATCATTCTCAATCCCAGGTTCTCTCTCATATGTGTAAGTTTTTCCTTCAAGCCTGAGCCACTCTTCACCCTGTCCCTCCCCTTTAAATTTTTTTAAAATTTTCTCTCTTTTTAAAAAGAATGTATTTATTTGGCAGAGAGATGGGGAGCATGTGCACACACAAGCAGGGAGAAGGAGAGGGAGAAGCAGGCTCCTGGCAGAGCAGGGAGCCTAAGGTGTGGCTGGATCCCAGGGTCCCAGGATCATGACCTGACCCAAAGGCAGATGCTTAACTGACTGCACCACCCAGGCGCCCCTACCCTGTCCCTTTTTTAACTCCAGTTTGTTCCGTGTCCAGTTTGTTCTGTGTCACTCAGTACAGCTGTCACTTTTTTGGTATCTGGTCCCAGCCCCCTTAGTGCCCATCTCATTCTGTGCTGTTTCTTATCACTGGCTTTAGTACATGGTACTGGCATTTCTTACTCATCTCTCTGTGCCATTAGACTATAAACTCCTGGAGGGCAGGGCCCTGGCTTATTCACAGATGAATTTTCAGGGTTTAGCTCAGCGCTTGGCACTTACTGATTGAGGGTTCCTTGAGCAAAAGGTGAACAGAGAAACTAGTCTTAGGTCAGCAAGAACCTTAAAGGTCTATCCAGTCCCAACTCTGTCCTTGTTTTTGAATCCCAGATGCCTGCTGGAAGAACAGATGCCACCTCTCATTACTTTTCTCTTGAGACTTTGTGTTTCCCCCTCTCCTATCCCCTTTTCTCTCCACAAGGTTGAGGAGGGATGGAACAGAGAGTGTAAGGATGTGGTTCTTTCCCCTAGCCTCAAAGATGGGTATTCTTTCTCTGCTAAACTCCTGTAATGCTTTCTGTGTAGACTGTGGGTCCATGAGGGCAGGGGCTGTGCTTATCTTGCTTGTCAATGTATTCCCAGCTCCAGTTTGGTACTTGACATGTAGTAGTTGCTCAATAAATATGTGATGAATGATTGAATGCCATTTATCCCTATCTAATTGGGTTATGATGAGAGGCAGTGTGTAGTACAATGGTTAAGCCCAACATCTTGCATGTCTGGAGTGGCTGGATTCAAATTCTGCTTCTGCTTTTACTCCATGTGACATTAATAAACTAGTGACCTCCTTGTTCCCCATTTTCTTAAGCTATACAATAGGAATGACCATAGTAGCGAGGACATAGTAAGCATTTTATGAGTCAGCTACTATTATTCTGAAATTAGGATCTGTGTCTGCATTTGTCTTCCTTGCAACATCTTGTTCTTGGTCTTACATGTAATGGGCAATCCATAAGTTGCTGGTGAATTAAAGATTTTAATCAGGTTTTCAAAGACCTCAAAATTATACCAGTAATGAAAAATAACAACAATCCCCCAAACCACTGCAGTGTTGCATGCATTTTTAAAGAAAATATTAAGTATATTCTATATTGCTGTGTCGTTGTGTTTGTTATTTCAATGACTATATAGTCCTTTATCGTGTTGATAAGGAAGAATTATTTTATTGAATGATTGCATATGGTTTGAGTATAAGAGGGTAACATTCAAGAATCAATCAGGAAGTGAATCTCCCCCTGGACAGAATACTGGAGTGCAAAGTTCAGTTTTGAACTTTACACTTTAAAAGGGACCTAGAGAGGGGTACCCGGGTGGCTCAGCCAGTTAAGCAGCTAACTCTTGATTTTGGTTCTGGTCCTGATCTCATGGTCATGAGATCCAGCCTGCCTTTGGCTCTGTGCTGAGTGGAGAGTCTGCTTCTCTCCCTCTCCCTCGGCCCCTCCTTTCTCTCTCTTTCTCTCTCTCAAATAAATAAATCTAAAAAAAAGGGGGGGGTACATAGAGAAATTACCGAGAGACCAAAGAAACCTGTACATTGCTAGGGAGGTGAAATGTAATCGAGTACTATTGTATCTTTGAGAGCGGTAAGAAGGAGGTTTGATCTCATAGCTGTATACCTCGTAATTTACAGGCGTCTCTGAAGAGTGGTTGCCATGACGTTGACAAACAGTTGCTCCTTGTTTCCATTAGGGGTAGAGCCAAAGAATCTAGTTTGCGGAAAAAAAAAAATCTAGTTTACGCTAAGAAGAGAAGGAGATTTAAGGAGAAACTTCGTATTCAGTGGTTTAGGAATGATATAAATTAGGTAGTGGGAGATTTCTTTCTTCGCTGAGGATATTGAGAAGACAGAGATCAGTCCTCCATGTTTTTGTTGTCATAGCCTAGCGTGGAGACTGGATTGGGCAACTTTTTACATTCCCTTTGAGCAGCGCTTTGGGTAAATATTTGATGATTGGTTGAAAGGTAACTAGGGGCGGGAGGGAGGGACGTCCCTGGCGAGTTTAAGTTACCCGCGCCCTCTAGTGGTGGAACTGGGAAAGAAGCGGCCGTTCCGTGGGGGGCTGAGCACCCAGCATCCGGTCCTACCCTCCTCCCTTTTGTTGTGTCAACCCACAGTGTGCAGCCGTGGCATTCCTATTCCCAAGATTTCGCACAAAGCCTACTTTGATGTTCTTTGAACCCTTCAGCTTGAAAACCTGTAAAACTTATAGGGACATATGGACCGAAAAGCCAGACTCCTTGTTCCATTTCCAGCTCTGCCATCAACTAGCAAATTACCTGGGCAAGTTACTTAGCTTTTCTGTGCTTCATTTTCCTCATCTGGAAAATGGGAATGATGATGATGATAGTGACAAACGTGCAGCATGGAATTGGAGCATGATAAATAGGCAAAAGTCTCAACTGAGAGACCAGGAACAGACTTGCCCATATCTGGGTATTCATTAAGAACAAAGATGTCTTTATACAGAAGCGAGGTAAGGTGGTTTTTCTTGAAATGGCAATCAATCAGATAGATATCCCCATGTAAAAAAAAAGGGGGGGGAACTTGACCCCTATCTCTGAACATACACATAAATCAACTCCAGGTAGATCATATACATAAATGTGAAAAGTAAAACAGTAAATAAAGTTTTGGGAAGATTATGTAGGAGAAAATCCTTATGACCTTGAGGGTAGACAAAGAATTCTTAAATAAGACATGGGACGTTTTAACCATAAATGAAAAGATTGATAAACTGAGCTACATTAAAATTATGAACTTCTTTTTTGGTCTTTTTTTTTTTTTAGTTGAAGGATAGTCGACATACAATATTATATTAGTTTCGGTATAAGGCACAGTGACCCAACAATTCTCTATATGATACATTGCTCACCATAGTAAATGTTGTCACCATCTGTCAGCATACCAAGTTATTACGATATTATTGACTTTTATCCCTACGCTGTACTTTTCACCTTCATGACTTATTTATTTTATAACTGGAAGTTTGTACCTCTTAATTCCCTTCACTTGTTTTGTTCACCTATACCCACCCTCTGGTAATCAGAGTTTGTTCTCTGTAATTATGAGTCTGTTTCTGGCTTTGCTCGTTTGCTTTGCTATGAACTTCTATTTATCAAAAAACATTATTTAGAGAGTGAAAAAGCAAACCACAAAATGAGACAAGATCATTGTAACCCCTATAATTCTTAAAGAGCTCAGATGCAGAATAAAAAACCAAAAAGAGATAAGGCAACCCAGTATGAAACTAAGACTCGAACAGACACCTTCTCCCCAACGAATGAACACAGGAAAAGGTGCCCACTTGCATTAATTAGTTCATGGGGGAATACAAATAAAAACTACAAGATTCCACTATAAACCCACTAACATGGATAAAGTTAA